TGTGAAGAAGCAAGAAAGACAGCAACCCTCCAGCAAGAGCAAAACCCAGTGTATTTGCTGTTGTGAAAATTTACCAACCATGACTGTGTTTTGAAAAGCAAACCACAGATTGGATTTATATCCATTAGAAAAGTATTAAACTTCTGACCAAACTTGGTCAGAATCCATCAGTCAGAGGCACCTGAGGGCAGTGGAAAGAGCTCAACTGGGAACCCGGTGCACTGGGCTGGGCTCCCAGCTCAACTGGCCCCACTTTGAGCCAGCAAGCGACTTCCCCTCTCTGCATCTCAGCCTGTCATCTGTGAAGTGTTAGCATGAGGTGAGCTCTGGGCCATTCTCGAAAAGGCCTGATGACGGCAGTCATTAAAAGCAAACATACATTAGAGCTACATGACATCAGGGACTGGGCCAGCTTCCCACCACCAACCTCCTGCCCACTGCCATCATTCCAGAACATTCTCCTGTTTTCGTTCTTTTAAAGCTTTATTTATTTACACATACAGAACTGTGTTACAGACCTGAGGTGCGGGGTTGAGAGGATGCACCAGAGACAGAGTAGGGAACAGAACAGACAGATCTACTGAAATACACGTCTGAGGGGAGCGTTGGGGAGACAGAGAGGTCTGCTGCACTGGGTTACTCTCCTGGCCATGGATGGACCTCGTGCTGCAGTGGCTCTGGACAGCTTCCTAGTGCTGTGCTTTAACCCACTGTGCCTCCAGGGAGGGCCCACATTCTCCTGTTTTCCTTATGAACTTTCAGACTCAGATTTTTGTACCTCCTGTCCTATTGTTCTCTTGGTCTGAACCTCTTCTTTTTCTTCCTATTTTTGAAGTGTTCCAGACACCAGACTCTTGGGCCCTTCTTTAGGAAGAATTCCTATTGATCCTCTCAGGCCCATCTCAAATGTCACTTCCTTTAAGAATCTCACCTGCTCACACCTCCCTCACCTATGTCCACCTCCCATGCCAAATAGATTTCAACTTGGAGATTCTGAGGCTTATCTCTGTCGCACTCTGAGCTTCCTGTGGACATGATTCATCTGGCAGAGCCCTCTGGGCAAAGGTGTTGGTGTTTGCCTGGGATGCCGGTGCCACTCTCTTGGGTGTGATCTTGCCCTTCAGGAGGGCATTTCAGGCAGGTGGTGGGCGAGCCAGGCCAAGACAACTTACACGCGGGGGTTTTGGAAGCCAGAAGATCTGGATCCAGTGATAAGGGATCCAGAAGCCCCTGCAAGAATGCCTGGGGCTTGACAATGTAACGTGGCCAATATAAACACCTTCAAAGGTAAAAGGCAGCAAACGGGATGGTACAAAGCTGGAGGGTAAGGCCGGGGCTGCCTTTGCTGCTCAGATTTCTCTTGTTATCTCGAACAGCGGGAGAGGCAGTAGTTCTGCTTTCTTACCCTTTCAAAACTCAACCCTGCATCAATCTCAGGAAGCTTTCCTCATCCCTCCCCTGTGCCTGGCTCCCCCAGCCAGGAAGTCCACAAAAAGCACCTCTCTGCATCCAGTGTGCCCCTGAGCTTATCTCCCTGTTTTGCTTTTCTTTCACCCACATTATATTGAAATCTCTGCTTGGGGCTGGGTGGCTTCTTTTTAGACTAAGCGCTCCTGGAGGGCAGGGCCCAGCACGGTATTTGGCACGTGACTCGATAAATCCCTGCAACAGCCTTTTTTTTTTTTTAAGATTTATTTATTTATGCATACAAGAACTGGGGTACAGGTCAGAGGTGCAGTGGGATAAGGCAGAGTGGGGAGCAGAACAGGCTGACTGACAAAGTCCACTGCTGAGGGGAGCAGCAGGCGGTTCAAGAGTCTGCTGTGTCATGTAGGTCACCACCTCTACCCCCGCCCGCCCGCCTGTGGGGATTAAACTTGTGCTGAAATTGTTGCAGCCAGCTTCGAAGAGCTGTGCTTTAACCTGTTGCGCCACCAGGAAGGGCCCAGCAACAGCCTCTTTACTGGACCCCTTCTCCTCCACAGAGTCCCCATCCCTCAAGACAGCTTGCACCCCCACCTGCTCACGCCCCTGGAGGCTCCCAGGCCTCTCAGGCCTACTCCTGCTCTGTCCTTGGAAGGAGCCCTGCCTGGCTTCCCAACTGATGACGCTCCTCCACACTTTTCTTTCTTTTTTTAGTGTAACTGATCCCTGTCTGAGATGCTCTGTTACTTATTCCCCTCACTTCTTGTCTGACTTTGCTCTGCGTTCAGCGGCGCCTCAGTGACTGTTAGCTGAAGGGATGAAGTGTTCAGTGTTGGTCTAGTCAAATTGAGTTAGTTTCTCCAGCAGGGAGTGAAAAGGCAGGTGAGAGGGCTGGGGACGGGGGACCCCAGCAGGGGCGCTGGGCCACAGCTCAGAGAGTGAGGAAGCTCCTGGTTCCCAGCTCAACACCCCCTGTGATGTTCACCTCCCATCATCAGGGGCCTTGGAAACTGAGCATCTTCTGTTTTGGAGGTACCAGCCTGCTTAGATATGAGCCCCAAATTACTTCTTAAGGGCATCCCCTCTCCCCAGCTACTTGGGAAGCTGCTCACTAAGATCAGGAGGGGAAAAGGCACAGTGAGGAAAACACTCAGAGAGATTGGAGCAAACTAGAGCGAGGAAGAGGAGGCCAGTTGAGAAGGGAAGGGGGGGAAGGGGGATGGGGGAGGACGAGACAGACTTGGACAGAGGCTGGGCTGCCACCCTGCCATGCCTGCGATGCCGCCCCTCACCTGGGTCTCCTCACCCAACAACCTTACGTGATGTGGGCCAATGTGGGAGAATTCACCGAGAAGGAAAAACCTGGGGTGCTCACAGGAAGAGGTTAGCATTTGCTCTCAGCCCCCTCTTGCCTCATCCACGATGTGTAGGTGGGGGTCTCTGAGCAGGCCTGGGGCCCAGCAGGCAGCTGACAGGCATCCTGGGGAGAGGAATTGTTTCAGAACTGGGCCCTGGGCAGCAACAGGACTTGAGCAAACAGGTGTTTCGTCCTGCTTCACTTTGGTAACTAGAATGTCAAAATCCGTGACACAGGGATTTCTAAAGTGTAAGTCTTCAGCTACTGCTGGGAGGGGGCAGGCTCGGAGGTGGATTCTGGAGTTTACTTCAGAGGCACTTGTGTCAGGCTTGTGCAAGATTGCCTCATGGGCTGGTGAAAGCGGAGGCCTTTCTTCCCAGCAAGGTCTTGGGAAACCACACCCAATTCTCTTCTTCATCCACGGGGTCTCCACCAGGCTACCCAGGGGTGACCGGGCCTGGGGTCTGAACACGTCTTGTCCAAGAAGGGCACCTGTCAGTGCTCACCGGGCAGAGTTGCAGCTTCCCATGCCTTGCCTGCCATCCCATCCCTACCCTAAGATAGACCTTTCTAGAATTCAAATAAAGTTGGCCTCTGGCTCTTCTCAAACTTAACTACTGTCTGCTGTTGGCAAAGTCTTCACAGATACAAGCTGCTGGCAGGCACACATTTTATATGTTGGATGTATTATATACTGTAGCCTTCCAACAAAGTAAGCTGGAGAAAAGAGATGTCATGAAGAAAATCATAAGGAAGAGACATACATTTACGTGTTGAGCGAAAAATTTCTAAGACTCTGGAGGTGCAAACCCAGCTTGTTCAAGGGAAGCTGCAAATACATTCCTCTCACCTGCCTCCCAGAAACCCCCACTGCTTAGCCCTCTGTCCTGCTGCAGAAATGTGAGCAGAGGTGCCTGCATGCTGCCCGCTCCTCCTGCTCACACCCACCTCTGCCCCCTCCAGCCCTGCTCACTGGTCTCCAGAAGCAGCTGTGTATTCATTCGGGGACACTTGCAGGGGCCTCAAAGTCCCCCAGGCCTCCCTTTTCTCTGGCCTTTCATGTTCCATGTTAGAATCCTGTGAGGAGCTGCCTCATGCCCTGCAGGCTGGGGAGCCCCAGGGTGAAGCCTTGTTTGTCTTGGGGCTCCAGACTTACACAGTGCTGAGTGAGTGTGGACAGACTGCCATTCAGTTCCAAGAACATCATCGCTCAGCCTTTGGGCCGAGCCAGCCACTCGCCCCCGTTGCTAGAAGATCAAGTCCAGGGTGGGGATGGGGAGGTGTGAGATGACCATCTCACTGCTCTTTAGTCACTGTAATGCCAGGGAAACACCAACTTTTTGTTTCCTCAGAGCACTCAATTATTGATTGATAATTAAGAAATACTCAATTAACCACTAATAGAGACAGTCACCAGTCTCACTTGGAGTTGGAATCTTTCAAAGATTGATTTATTTATGCATACAGAACTGGAGTACAGGTCAGAGGTGCAGGGGCTGTGAGAGGATTCACCAGAGACAGAGTGGGGAGCAGGACAGGCAGATCAACGAAGTACACTGCTGAGGGGAGCAGCAGGCGGGTCAGGAGAGGTCTGCTGCACCATGTGGGTCACCTCCGGGGCCGGGATCTTACTCACACTGAAGCGGCTGTGATTCACTTGCAGTGCTGTGTCCTAACCTGCTGCGCCACCAGGGAGGGCCCGGAGTTGGAATCTTAAGCTTGACATGACATTTTGATCCCTCTCTGAGGGAAGAAGCCAATTCCTCTCACGTCAACAGTTGAGAGTTGGGAATGCAGGTGGCAAATGGGATGGAAGGGTTTAAGTCGCCTTGACTAGCCAAGTCACACTTCAGGATTATGCTCGACTCTGGGAAAGTGGCTCTCAGGCCTGCCCTGGGGTCTAGAACAGCTACCATGCTCTGACTGAGCTATCAGAGAGACAAGACAGAGGAGGGCTCTTGTCATCTGAGGAAGTCTGCCCCGTCATGCTGCGTCTCACGTTCTCCCTGCGGCCAGGGGGCCACTCACTTACTCCTGCCCACCCTAGTGCTCACTGAGTGCTTGTTGCGTGCCATCCCCTGGGGGTCAGGCCGGTGAGGCAGCCATTGGTCCTTCTGACAGGGCCACAGATCAGGGTGACAATTCCACAGTGGAGGTTCAGTGGCAGAAGCACCAGAGTTCTGTGGGCCTGGAGGAGGCAACTCCTAGAGTCTAGGAAGGTGGGTGGCTCGGGAAGTTTTACTGCAGGTAGCAGTGGGGCCTTCACTGTCTTAACGGCCAGACCAGTGGCCAGTGGGGACAGCACTCCTGGTGCAAAGGGGCAGAGGCTGGAGGCAGCCGGGTGTGACTGCAGGAGGGCGTTCTGAGTGGTATGTGGGTGGTTACATGAGTGCAAGGGGCTAGATTTATTTTGTGTCTCCAAGGGTGTGGGAAGGACACAGGGACGCTAGGGTGGACCCCTTCAGGCATGAGGAGACAGCTTAGGCTTGGTGTGATGAAGGACTTTCTAAGGGTCTGTGCCAGAGGAGGAACTTATTGGTAGATACATGTATGGCTGGCTCGACCATTTGGTGGGGACCTAAATGTGGGATGGGACAGCTTGGTTAAATAAAAAATCTTCCATCTCTTTAAAAGGCAAATTTTTTTTTCAAATGGAAGCTTCCAGTGTGAGCAGATAAAGACTGATATTATCAAATGAAGGCAGGGAGGGAGCGGGCTACCTCCGTCTTCCTGTTTGAAATTCCATGATGGTATTCAGAAGTTTTCTTCAGCTGGTTTTAATCCCACTCTCCTACCTCCTTTCTCAACACTTTCCCCTGAAGATAGAGCAAGGAGCATGTGGGAAAGTTGAGACCGCTGTGCTGTCAATATCTGAAAACCTACTGTGCATCAATCACTAGTCTGGGTGCTGGGAGTGAAGCAGAGAATAAGACAGGTGTCATTCTGCACTTGCGGGGTTCACACAGTCTTGTTGGGGACACAGACCATAAACATGTTTGCACATTGTGATGACCCGTGGTAGACAGGAGAAGTGGGGGAACCACTTGCCCTACATATTCCACCCTGTTCAATCCTTCCTTCCTTAGCACACCGTCCCCTCCTCCTGCCCACCCACCCTCCCTACCCTAGCCTACCCTGCGGCACCCAACTTGAAGCAAGACCCTGATAGGCACAGGCCTTTCGCTCCAAGGCCCAGGCGGTCCCCATGTGTCAAGCCACATTCAGAAGAGTATCCCTTCCCTGGATTTGAGGGTGGGGACTGAAGGGCTGTCAGAGGTGAGTGTCCCCAGCTGTCAGGTCCCCAAGTCAGTCAGGAGAGGGACTGAGGGCTTCCAAATTCTGTGCCCCAGCTGGAAAACCCTCACGCCTTCAAGCGGGAGCCCTTAAATCCTGCACCCCAGCAGCACCTCCGGGGCCTTCCCTTGTGTGGGGTGTTGCTGCATGGCTGATGGCAGATTGCTGGGGACAGGCCTGCTGCCCAGCGTGGGGGAGCCTGTCTCTGACCAGGGCTGCCTTCTTTGTACTCAGCTCTGGGGAAGGAGCTGCGGGGGTGGCTAGGGCAGCAGGTGGCATTGAAGACCCTCTTCTCTCTACACTGTCTTGACCAACTCTACCCCTCACGAGAGTGGACAGGTCTCTACTCTGCGCCTTGCTTTGTTTACTTGTAACAACTCCCCCCTGACCCCCAATCCAGTTTTCGCTGCTTAAAGGACAGTGTATGCCCCTGATTTGGGCTGTGGATTTTGGAAGACCCAGCCTGGTTACAAAGTAGGAAAGGAACTTTATGGTGATGCTGACAGACCAGAGCGCAGGAGGGATGCATTGAAGTCACCTGGGTGTGTCTGATATGAACCCCTGGGTCTGGAGACTGTGGGGGTGTGTGGGGGCCCCTCCCAAGTGTCCATCTCAAGGGCCCTGCTTAGGCGCACTTTGGGAAGAGGGAGGAGGGGCTCTCAGGAGATGGTTGTGCAGGCAGCCTGGGGTTAGGAGGGGGTTGGGGCTGGGGGGCTGGCATGTCAAGGGGAGGTGTAACCCTCCTTTGCTTGCTCTGGTAACAAGGGTCAATCTGATGGGCTGGGCAGAGGGTGGTTTGAGCTGGGGGGTAGGCAACTGGCCCTGAGTGGGGCCTGGAGTCAGAGGAGAGGACGTGGTGGGGGGACAGAGCCCAACTCAGGATGGGCGTCATCACAGCAACTTCTCACTTTGCTGTGAGGGGGTTGAGACCCAGCTGAGGGGCAGAGCTGTCAAGCTCCCAGGCCCCCAGGAAGGACAGGTTGGGAAGGGTGTGGTAGAAGAAGCACGCAGAACGCTGGCTTGCAGGAAGGCTTTATTTTGCCCCCAGCTGCCAGCCCGCAGCTCAGGGAGAGTGGCATGGCAGCCCTGGACCCCAGCTGGGCTGGGCAGTGGCCTGGCCTCCTGATTAGTGGCCGTGGCTGTGGCCATGGCCGTGGCCGTGGCTGTGGCCGTGGCCCTGGCCACCCTCCCCGAGGCCTGGTCCGTGGCTGTGGTTTTTCCCCGGGTCAGCATTCTTGTGCATCTCCTCATGGGAGGCATACGTCAGGCGGCCCACCAGGATGGCGAACTCCTCGAAGCTCAGCTGCTTGTCTGCATTTGTGTCCAGGTCCTCCATGATCTTTTGTAGGGTCACGTTGTCCTTTTTCTTTTGCAGGTAGGAGAGAAAGAGCGGTCAGGGATGCTGGGTAGGACCAGGGTTGGGAAGTACAGAAACTAATCAGGTGCAAAGGCACAGGAACAGCTCATTCCTGGGCCTCAATCGAAATATTAAAAATGACTGTGGACTGGGTAGCCACAGCATCACAGATGCCAAGCATGAGCTGGACTCTTTCAAAGGGGCTGGCGTGCAAGCAGCATACTCTTCTCCAGATTACAGGAGAGAGACTGAGGCAGCGGGACTTGCTTGATTTTGCACCATTAGCGAGCATGGAGATGCCACCTCACCTGGTCTTTGTAAGGACTTTAGCAGATAGAGATAATATCTTCCTTGAGGAAGATGTGAGCTGAGAAAGGTAACAGGTGTTTGCAGGTTGACAAGGCTTGGGGGCAGAAGAGTGGCATCGCCAGTGGTGATGAGGCTCAGCCTGCCCGTGTCCCCTCTCCGCTCCCCCCTGTCCCCTCCCCTCCGTGCATCTTGCTTCCCTTTCCAGGTTACTAACTTGCGACATTAGTTTCACCCTACCTGCAGGGAGGCACCTTAGCAAAACAGGGTGGTAGGGATCTCTACGTGAGGACAGAGAACAGAGCGCATGCGCCATGGACATCAAAGGCGCGAGAAAGAATGCAGGGCAGGGTGGGAGGGGAGGCCGGAGATGGCAGGGAAGGGAGTTGCAGGGGTCCCAGCTCTGCCATGTTCGCCCCCTCCCTGCTCTGGAGCGCCCCAACACGCGCCACTTCCCTGAACTTGTGCCGTCACCGGACGAGCCCTTACTCTGAGCAGCCCCTGTTTCTGCCTGATCCCCTCTTTCCCATCTTGCTGTTTCTGGCAGAATGTGTGGGGTGAGTGGGTATTGGGGTCACATGGGGAGAACACGGCCCACCCACTCCTGGCTGTCCCTCTCTGTCGCCGGCCCTGGCCCAGGTCCTGCTGCCGTGGGACTGTCAGCATCCCTGACGCCGCCCACTGCTTGTCTTGCAGTTCGCCATGGACGTCCAGCCGCAGGGCTTAGCTGTCCCACCCTTCTGATCCAGGGCCTGCTTCCTCCAAGTCACCGTGTATATTTGAAAAGAAAATGAAAGACGGGGCAGAATGAACCCTCCTTTCCCTAGAGCTGCCTATCCCTTGGCCGACGGGGAAATGGAGGACCTGCTCCCAGAGCCACGTGCTCCCTGGCGGCCGCTGCTGTCCCGCTGACCTCTGCCTGCTTCCTGCCACAGTCCCTGCGGCTCTCAAGTGACCTCTCTCTCGGGTCTGCTC